GTCAGATCTGAAGTCAAGTTCTGGGAATCCTCTCTGATTCTATATGCAATGGGAGCGGACTTGAGTATGAATGCTGTAAAGAATTTTATGACCAGATCTTGGAACTTTGTTCAACTGCCGGACATGTATTTCAACGATGAAGGGTATTTTATTCTCCGGTTTAAATCGTTCAAAGATCGTGATGAAGTTTTGCTGAGAGGTCTGTATATGATAAGAAACATTCCTTTGTTGATTCGAGAATGGAGACCAGGGTTCAAGATCAAGGATGAACTCATGCGAACCCTACCTATTTGGGTAAAACTTCCCCAACTCCCTATCCTATTGTGGGGTGATACAAGCCTGAATAAGATTGGGAGTGCCCTGGGTAATCCTATTATGACAGATGAGTGTACTGCAAATAGACTGCGAGTGTCCTATGCGCATATTCTTGTTGAAATGGATATTACAAAGGAGCTTCCTCAAACAATCACCATTGTTGATCATGAAGGAGAAAAGATTCAACAAGCAATTGAGTATGAATGGAGACCTCTATTCTGCAATAAATGTCAAAAGGTAGGTCATAGCTGCGAAAAGCCTAAGGTGAGGAAACAATGGATACCAAAGCATGTGAAACAACCTGAAGCTAATGTGGAATCAAAAAAGGTAGAGGCTGATAATAAAGGGCCTAATAAAGTGGAAAATGTTAATAAGGTTATAGTTCAGGCCAGGAAGGACAATGTAAGTACTTCTGCTGAGACTCCTTCTCCTGTGGCTGAAGATATCAGAAACAAGGATGTGGACGCAGTTGTGGAAAATGGACTGAGGTTATTAAAAGTGGTAAAGATAGAGGAAAAAAGCCAGTTAATGATAGCTTTATAGGTTCGATTTCATGTGATAATGGGTTTGATGCTCTAGAGATTTTGAAGGATCCCATAGAGTCTCAAAACACTGGTCAATGATTATTTCTTGGAATCTCAGGGGGCTGAATAAAATAGGGAAGTTAAGGGAGACTAGCTCCCGTCTCCTTAACCTTCATCCCAATATTGCAATTCTGTTAGAAACTAGAGTAAAGTGTGATAAAGCCAAGAAAGTTAGAGACTGTCTTAATCTCAGAGGTAAGTATCTTGATAACTACCAAGCTCATTATAATGGCAGGATCTGAATTTTTTGGGATGACAGTTATAAGGACATCAGATTGGTGAGGTGTACATCTCAGATGATACACTGTGGGGTCTATGATGTTAATGGAAATTTCCAAAACTGGATGACAGCCATTTATGCTATGAATCAGCTGGACCAAAGAAGGGAATTATGGGAGGACTTGGAGCACATTCATAATAGCCAACAAGGGCATTGGTTCCTTATGGGTGATTTTAACAATGTGACAAAGTCCATGGATAGGATTGGGGGCAACTTGGTGACTGAGAGAGAATATGTTGATCTCAGGAACTTGATGGATCATGCTGGGCTTTTTGAGAAGGATAGCACAGGGGATTATTTTACTTGGACAAGTAAACATTATGTAGGTACTATCTACTCTAAAATTGATCACGTTCTTGGTAACATTGACTGGCTGCAGAATAATACTGATGTGAAACTAGAGATTCTCCCTCCTAGTATATCTGATCATTGCTTACTTTGTTTGTCTGACCAGAAAAACAATAGAATTGTACACACCAATTTCAAGTTTACTAATAGTGTGATTAAGGTGGCTGGTTATTAGGACATTGTTAGGTAGAGTTGGAATAAAGCTTATGTTGGTAGACCTATGGCTCGACTTTGGTACAAACTTCTGAGGTTGCAGGCTCCTCTTATCAAATTGAGCAAACAGTTCTCTCATCTTCATATGTCCATTGTTCAAGCTAGGACTGAGTTACTCAAAGCACAAGAAGAGCTAACTGTGGACAGAATGAATAGAGGGAATATTGAGAAGGTGAAAAAGTATACTGATGAAGTGATCTACCTGCAGGATCTTAATGTAAAAATGTTAAGACAGAGAACTAAACTGGATTGACTTAGAGAAGGTGATACAAACTCAGCTTTCTTCTATGCCTACCTCAATTCTAGAAATGTAGCTACCCACCTCAGTCAACTTCAAAAGGAGGATGGTACTTATATATAGAATACTCCTGATATAGAAAAGGAGGTTTGTGACTTCTATGGTAAGCTGTATGGGACTCGAGAACAAAGTGTGAGCATGATTGATATTAATGAGGGAGGGACCCCAGTTAACTATGATGCAGAGAGCTGACCTAATTACCCCTGTAACTGTTGCTGAAATAAAGAATGCTATTAAAGGGATTGGGGATCTAAAGAGCCCTGGTATTGATGGGTATGGTGGTAAATTCTTCAAGGCAAGTTGGAACATCATTGAACAAGATGTTGTAGAAGCTGTCCAAGAATTCTTTGAGCATAATGTGTTGTACAAAAGGTTTAATGAGACTATTGTCACCTTGATCCCTAAACATTCTGCTGCTAAAATGATAAAAGAGTATAGGCCTATTGCAGGGTGTACTACTGTCTATAAAATCATTTCCAAGATCCTCACTACAAGACTTGGGAGAGTTTTGGGATCTATTATCAGTAAAGCCCAGGCAGCTTTTGTGCCAGGACAGAAAATTCATTCTCATATCTTATTGGCAATGGAACTTTTAAAAGGGTATAATAGGAGAAATGGTACTCCAAGATGCATGGTTCAACTTGATCTACAAAAGGCATATGACATGGTTGATTGGGGTGCTCTTGGCAATATTCTCAATGAGATAGGTCTGCCAAAGAGGTTTGTTGATTGGATCATGACTACTGTTACCACAGTCTCTTATAGATTCAACATTAATGGTAGTTACACTGATAAGATAGAGTCTAGAAGGGGTATCAGACAAGGGGATCCATTGTCCCCCCCTTCTGTTTGTGATAACTATGGAGTACCTTAGTAGGCTGCTTTTCAGAATGCATAAAAACCCGGATTTCAATCATCATACCAGATGTGAAAGGTTGCAGCTCACTCACCTAACATTTGTTGATGATCTTTTGTTGTTCTCAAGAGGTGATCAAGGCTCCATGGAGATTCTGCAGCGCACTATCAAAAGCTTTTTGGATTCAACAGGTATAAAAATTAATCCTTCAAAAAGTAAGGTGTATTTTGGTAGTGTTTCAGATTCTGTAAATAACTTAATTCTGCAGTTGACTTCTTATAAGGAGGGGACCTTCCCCTTTAGATATCTTGGAGTCCCAGTGACTAGTAAGAAGTTGTCTGTTGTTCATTATATGCCGTTGGTGGATAAATTAGTGAGTAGGATAACTCATTGGAGTTCTAGGCTTCTTAGTTATGCTGGAAGACTACAGTTGATTAAAAGTGTGTTGTATGCTATTACTTCTTACTGGATGCAGTGTATTTGGTTCCCTAAAGCTGTGATTAGCAAAATCAATGCCAATTGTAGATCATTTCTCTGGACAGGTGGTAGCACTATCAGTAGGAAGAGTCCAATTGCCTGGGAAAAGGTGTGCAAACCTACTGTTAAAGGGGGTATGAATGTGTTAGATTTAGAGGTTTGGAATAGCATGTTTATGATGAGATTACTCTGGAATATTTGCACGAAAACTGATGATTTATGGGTTCGGTGGATACACGCCTATTACTTGAAAAATGAGGATATGATGCATAGAGTGGTCAAGGGATCAGACTCGACTATTTTTAAAACTATTCTTCTGCAGAGGGATAACATAGGGAACATGCAGATTGTTTGGAATGAGATGGTGCAATCAGGGAGATTCAATGGTAGGAAAGTGTATGTGAACTTGTTGCCTGCCACACCAAATGTTGTTTGGGCCAAGTTAATTCTCCATAATAGAGCAAGACCTCGTGCAATCTATACACTATGGATGATCTGTCATGGGAATTTAGCCACAAAAGCCAGACTGTATCGGTTTGGAATGGTGAATAATAATCAATGTGTCTTTTGTTCTGAGGTGGAAACCATTGACCACCTATTTTTTGAGTGTTCTATTTTGAGGAAGGCCTGGGTTGAAACGCTTCATTGGATTGGTATCCAACACACTCCTGGAAGTTGGAATGAGGAGAAAAATTGGATTTTGAATTGCTATGGAGGTAAAGGTTGGAAATCTGAACTTGTTAGATTAGCTCTGACAGAAACTTTGCATGAGCTGTGGCTCTTTAGAAATGACTCTTGTTTCAATCAAAGAGATAACAATAGGAATTGTACAGATAGAATCATTAACAACATAGTTTATAGAGGGTGGTCGAGTCCTAAGCTTAGACCACACATAACTTTTTTGATGGTACAGTAAGTTTAGTTTTGTTTCCTTGGTGTGGGCTGGATCTTTGATCGCCTTGTCGTGTATTGGCTTTGGATTAATGAAATTTTTTGATTCAAAAAATAAATAAATAAATAAATAAATAAAAATATATATATATATATATATATATATATATATATATATATGTAATTTAATAAAAAAATACATAAAATATGTAACTATTTCTCTCATTTTCATATTAATCTAGAACTTAAAAATACTTACTCCTACAAAAATACTTACAAGTTTCACACTTAGCTTGAAATGAAGTAGTAGTCATCATTTTGTTTAATTTGGTCAACTTATTGAGTACACTCTAATTAACCCAATAAACCACATTTTGCAAAAATAACACTAAATTTTAACATAAATCATGATAGCACATGATACCAAACACTAGTATGAATGAACTAAGTGATGTAAATGAAACATTTAAGAAAAAGTAGAAAAAGGATAAGGTAAAGCCAAGTGGTACATTCTGAGTCAGCATGTATCCTACAGAAACGCCCATTGGATAAGTTTTCAATGTGCTTAGCAAAAAACAAACGCAACATAGCCACGGCATTTTTCCGTAATGGGACCCACACATTCCCTTTTCTCCCTTAACCCTTTGTATAAAAGGAACCCTAATCCCATTTTCATTCTTCATTCCTAAATCTCAACTTCTCATAACGACATCGCATCTTAACGAAACAATTACAATCATGATTTCTTCTGTAGTATCTCTTCCTTCTTCTCTCTACGCCGCTAATTTCGCCGGTGTTAACACCACCGTAGCTCCACCTCCATGCCGCGTCAGATCTCGGCCAATACTCATCACCGCTAGCGCTACTGCCACCGCTGAAGCTCGCTCTACATGGACTGAACAACCAAGAACTTCATATCTGAACTTAAACACGATCTCTTCTCCTTCGCTCTACGAGATCCTCGGTATACAAGCAGGTGCCTCGGTACAAGAAATCAAGTCTGCGTACCGTCGACTTGCTAGAGTCTGCCACCCTGACGTGGCGGCGATTGATCGGAAAAACTCGTCGGCGGATGACTTCATGAAAATTCACGCTGCTTACTCCACGCTTTCGGATCCTGATAAACGTGCTAATTATGATCGGAGCCTTTTCCGACGACAACGGCCGTTGTCGATGATGTCCGGCTACACTAGTCGGAAATGGGAAACGGATCAGTGTTGGTAGTGAGTCGACTCGCCCGAGTTAAATTCGGCCTAGCATAGTAACCGATGAGGAAGGTGCAGTTATTGAAGCGCCATGCCTCTAATGAATGTAATTTATACTAATTACCAATCACCGATAGTGACTACTAGGAATTAGTTTTCTTTTTCAACTGGAACTATAGTTGGTTTTCAGATTTTGTATAGTGAAGATTTCAGATTTTGTATATTGAAGATGGGTATTTTTCTGAGATTTTTCACTACATAGAGTATAAAATTACTAACCACTACTACTACTGCATATGATAAAGTGTGGAGTGTAAACTTTCTTCCAAATTTCTTTTCCACCTTTAAAGGGTGAGGCCACTAAAAACTTAAATTTGACCTTAAGTGTTTTCAGAGATTCATCTTTGCACAAACCTTCGATCATGGTCTGGAGGGTCTGGAGATGAATATGTGAAGTTTTTTATGATGTTTTCGAAGATACATCTACATTGAAGAAATGTCACTTTTTATGCGCAAACACATTGAATAGATCGTAAATGTTAAGGGTGATGGTAATTCTATACATCCCTTTACGAGAAAAAAGAACATTTTGACGCAATTCATGACACTTTTGAAAGAGTTTACTTCACCTAGAGAATTCTACACATTGATGTACGAGAAAAAAAAATATTTTGATGCATTTCACAACACTTTTAAAAGAGTTGACGTCACCTAGAGAATTTTACATAAGAAAAAAGGAAGAACATTTTGATGCAATTCACTACACTTTTATTCCTTCAGTTAGCAGTCTTGTATCGGAGCCAAATTGAACGCGCTTCCTTGAAATATGCATTGATCTGACAAAATATGGTTCTTGGAGACATTTTTTCAATTTGGACGCATCATGTGTATTGGATGACTTTTAAAATCGCTACGTTTTATTGAGGTTTATTATTGGAATGGATGACGCATTCTATAAAAGAGGTGAAAACTTGGTCGAATCAATTTCAGTAAAAGATGAAAGAGTTCACCAAATTAAGTGAGATTATAAGAGAATCAAATAAGAAAAAGTCAAAGGAGAAACAACTAGTAGATTTATGCGATGTTGCATCTTTTGATGCATTTTATATTGTAATAATAGATACATTTTTTTAATGTATTATCGTCAACTTTGTAATCTTGATACGATTTAATGCATAAGTAATATATATTCAACAATGATGGTGTAAATGTTAAAGGTTTCAGTTTACAAAATTTTATTGTTTACTTTTTATGTTTTTGTTTACACGGTTTCTGTTGTGATTTTGGTTCAAGGTTATCCTGAATATGCATATCCGGATAAATTCCACACTAAATAAAAAAACATAGCAGACAGCTTATGAATGTGCATATCCGTAAACACTCTTTTTTGTTAAAAAATAGTATTTATCCAAAGATGCATTTCTAAAAAAATCCCTTATGACATGATAAAAGTTTTTAAGATCCAAAGTGACCCAAAAACTTGTATAAATATGGTATCTCTCATTCCATATTTTATACAAAACACATAACAACCAGGGAATGATTACTTATCTTTATCTTGCATTTGTGTGTTTCAATGGTGCAACCCCCTCCCCCTCACACACACTTCAATTCTGGATCTATGAGAACATACTTCTCGTCAATCTAAAAACAAAACTTAATACTCTCTTGCTATATCCAAAATATCAGAGAGTTGTCAAGCTCGAGTACCGTTCACCCTCGTTTGACAGCAAAAGGATGATATAGTTCACCAGCATTGAGCTGAAGACGGATGAAGATTTAAAGTTCGTGTGGAGTACATTTTACTGTTACACATCAAAGAGTGTGATTGAAATGGATGTGAAGATTGCAAGATCCGCCCACAATATTATCAATATGTTGCAACGTCTTGAACTACATGTTTATAACGATATGTATTTTTAAATTTATGTTAACAACACAAAATGTAATGTTGAGTGTTTTAATTTTCTGTCAAGTTGTTTTTGTTTATAGATTTTGCTCATAGTGTCTCTGTTTCTATTTAGGCAGTATGAACAAGATCTAGAAATAAAAACAACTTGACATTAAATTAAAACACTCAACATTACATAGATATTTAAACTGATATGGGCGAGATGAATCCAATTGTGAATGATGTTGACTACCTCGCAACAATGTTACATGAGCGAGTTAATCTCTGCAAGACCATCCCATTAGGGGTTCAACTAAACTTTAAGGTAAGGAGTTGACTAAACAATGATTCACGTAAGGAGATACATGTTGCACTGACAAGCCTCAAACAGAAGAACATAACGATAATGATCATGATTATGTAACAGTTATGACAGTCATAACAATAAGGGCCATAAAATTATGTCACGCATTTAAGTCCTAGACATGGGAGAGACAAGATGTAATTAACCCCTATCATAAAATGTTTATAGGTACTTTCTATATTGGATTAATGATAAGACATTTCAACGAGTCCCTCACACGGAAGCCATTAGGTTGAATGGAAGAAATCATGGCACAAGTGAAGTGTTACGTGAAAGGAAAAGAGAGTAATGTTGAAAAGAGGTACATAGATGCAAAAGATATAAATAATAGAGGATTTGAGTCCTCTGTCATCCATAAGAACCCCTCACGCGGAGGAACTTTTAAGCCTAATAGAAGGAAAGAACATATTAGAAAACCTACACGATATTACACACCTATGAACATGAGGCGAGAGCATATATGGAAAGAAGTCTATCACACTAAGTACATCCCAAAACCCCTCACCTCCCAAATGATAAATAATGGGGGAGGGAACCCAACAAGTGGTGAAAGTAGTACAAAGTGAAGGACTAACATACAGACAATTGTCACCAATTGAAGAAAGAGATTAAGTGTCTTATTTAGGAAGACCATTTATAAATATTTGTTCAAGAAACTGCATACAATTTTGCATGGAGGCCGCATCACCTAGGATGAGATCGTCCCATAAGCCTTCAACAAGAAAAAGGAAAGAGCATGAAGTAAATGAGCATGTTTTCCACACTCTGAATACCATCGTCGGGGTGGCAAATCAAGTACTTCTCGAACATGTTATGCTTGTCAGGTTATGTATATCTTGGAATCATCCACAATGTTGTTAACACTCATCCACCCTCGTTTGACACCGCCTTTTAATGTCAAGATACGACCAAAATCCTACCCCATAAGGACGACCTTTTGGTTATCAATATTCAAATTTTCTAGTGGAACATGAAGAAAGTTTTAGATGACCTCGAAAGCTCAACAAATGTCCTTTACTAGGATGATTTCAAAATATTAAAGTTGGATCTCGAGCATATTCAACCTTTCAAAGGGTCTTTGATACATTATTCAGTTGATCAAATGTATGTCTTTGGTTATATCCCAATTAAAACAATCGTTGGAGAAGGAAAAAACACTTAAATCGTAAAACACAAGTGTCTTGTGATAATGCCCCTTCCTACAATATTAACATTGGAAGACCTACGTTCAATTCCATGGAGGAATTTCTATCAACGTTTTATGTAACAATGAAATATTCAATAGAGAGCAGACGAGACGGTTAGGGATTATAAAAGGAGATTAGAGGTGCATAAAAAATGTTACCATGTCAGCTTGAAAGTAAAGAAAACTGCGAGTACCACATACATCACATCAAAATCTAATGCCTACAATATCAACTGAACATTTCCTAATCAGAACAACGATAAATAAATATGTCAATGATCAAAATAATGATATCACTTTTTTCACATTCTTAGGTTTTACTTGTCCCCCACATACAAAGTCACATATATTATACTTTATTTAAGTACAATAGTTAAAGAATTATATAAAAACACATTAAAAAAAAAAAGAAGTTATTATTATTTTAATATATATAAATAAGTGTAAATTGACATTACAGAAAGGATAAATAGCATCCTACATAGTATTTTCCCCTACCAGTTTATTTGGAAATTCTCTCTCATCCAAAAAAAAATATTGTCTTTTATTTTTAATATTTATTTATATTTATAATATTAGCTTATGTTTTTGTCATATTTTTAAATTCATCTAAATATTGAGTCAATTACTATTAATAATATATTTTTAATGATAATTCTTTGGTTAAAAATTAGATATCATCTACACGCAATTATCGCCGGATCTAATTATTTATAAATATGATTTTATCAATAATTATGATAAGATTTAAATAAATACTTTTAACTATCTAACAGCCATATAATTAAATGATTGTGTACATAAATTACATTAACAATATATATGAATTAAATTCAAAAATTAAATGTACAATTTTTAAATCAATACTTTAACGATTAAAATTTAATACATGTGCTTAGATGAAAATTTTCTATACTTTATACTTATTGAAAGTTATAGTTAATTTTGTAAAACTAAATATATTTTATGACAGAAATTAACAAAATAATTAAAAAGAGAGGGTGTACCGTTAGAAGGTGGGAAGAAAGGAAGGTGCTAGGAATTTATGATTCCATCAAAATGTCATCTCAATTTGGCGTGTAAACCAGTCACCATATCAAATTTCTAGAAGCTTAAGCTTTCTAGAAGATCCTATAGATTAGCGTGACTCATTTATTATGTGAATTTATTTTTTTAAATATATATATATATATATATATATATATATATATATATATATATATATATATATATATATATATATATATATATATATATATATATATATATATATATATATATATATATATATATATATAACTGATTTAATTTTTATAAATTTAAAATTATATTTGGCGATTAAAATTAAATTTTGTATATAAAATATGTTGGTGTTAGTTAATTTTTTTTTAAATTATATAATTGATTTTTCATTTAAATATATTATTTTATTTATTTTTATTTATATAAAATATGATTTATTTTTTTTTAAATAACCTTGTTCCAACTTCTAACGTACATGAAAAGGACGTCCTATTAAAAGCATCTTACGTGTTTGGATTGGATTGTTATTGCAAATTGTTAGCCATATTAAAGTAA